TAGAATTGTAGACACTTGCAGGTTTGTCTATACCTGGTACTTATCTTTGCCACGGATGAACGTCCGGGACACGTCATGCACGGAAATTATGTTTTCGATGTTTTCGACTCAACGCTTGCCCTCAACGCATGAACACAGGTAGCGCACTACTTCCGACGAGCGAAGGCGGCATTAGCAAGTTTCACAGGCCCGACCAACATGGAGGTTGCAAAGTGAGTTGAATGGCATCCGGAGCTGATATCCCGCGAGCAGGTGCATCATTTGGATAGCTTCGTACTGGCCCAAGGGTGCACGGCCGTCCGCGCCTGGGTTGTGACCAAGTTGCATGAAGTAGCGCGTTGCCCTCTCGCCAGCCTCGTTAGGTCGAGTACGGACTACAGTAGGTGTCCCGATATATGCCGGTATGTGTCCAGGCGATTTGACCGGCACTATACCGGGCACTGACACTATTCAATCGGCACTATTCAGGGCCTGAAAATCCCTCTATAGTGCCGGCTTGGCGCTATTCAGGACTTTTCGACTTCAGAGTGCAGCGCTTGCGCTTTGCGGGGATGACAGAGTGCCAAACGAACGGTATTTGGATCAATCGTGAGGTGGGCGACGTGGGCGGGCTTCTTTATTAAGTTTCGTGAGACTCTTGGAGTGTCGAAAACACGGCATTGGTCACATTAAAATTAACTTGATTGACCAGATAGATTTGTTGCACAGCAGTTGTTCTCTTCCCACCTCAGCGCAAGCACTCGCTGGTGAAACGTTGCTGCTGCCTTTTAGCCGTAGACCGTGCTGCCCGATAAAAAGTTTACCTCGCTATCAAATTATTATGTGTTGTATTGCAAGAAGGCCGTAGCACTATTCAGGCAACCTCAAAGGCACCCCTCGACAGCCAAAGAAAGACGCTCATGAACGCACCCGATGTACATTTGGAGGTAAATCATGGATGGATGTAGTGCTCCTTACATGAGCACACAAAAGCAGATGCAACCTAAAAAGGGGGCGAAGAAGATAACGAACTCCCCTGTTCCTTCGATAAAAAGCTGGAGACAAGACCAAGCCTTCAGCAGCAAGAAAAAAGACTGGCCAACCGAAAGACGCCAGTCTCAGTGCGGTCAAAAACAGAAAATATTTGTTTCTCAAGGCCGTGAGAGGGTGTCATGGAGGAGGCTGAGCTGTTCTCTGGATAAAAGACAAAAGAAATGGTAGCAACAGAGAGAGGAGAACTACGCGACTGCCAAGGCTTACTACTTGAACACGCATTCGGTTCGGATTGTTTTCATCCTTCCTTAGAAGAATTTTATTTACCACCACTACTACACTCTTCACTAATATTCCACTATCGGGCTTTCATCTCTAGATTATGCGCCCCTGGAAGGTCATCTCGCTCGAAACTCTTTGTTGTTCCCCTGAACACCATATTTTCCTCCTGCACCATCACTGCTATCCTTCGCTATATTTTCCATATCCTTTGTCACTACCACCATCTTCCTTTTCGCTCGCCTCACTACTGAAATCCCGGCCTATTGGTGGAACCTGCGTCGATCGGTAAAACGTGACATTTGAAGACGCAACGCGTACCGAGAGAAACCGAGCTTACTTGTAGCTCGAAGGGAAACCGTCTCCGAAGCCTGTTGGCATGGAAGGCTTGAGGCGAAAAAAGGCTGTGTGTGGGGTGTGAACCAGCACTATTGAGGGGTCCGATAGTGCCTGAACCGCAACTATAGCGGGCAGCCCTCAATAGTGCCGGTTTGGCACTATTCAACCGGCACTATATCGGGACACCTACTGTACGTCGCTCACAATACGTCACCATTGCTATCTTTTCCCACCCCTGTTTTTTTTTGTTTTAAGGGCGTGGACGATACTGGGGTACCTCTACGCCTTCTCGGGAGATGTGGTGAGCACTGTTTCTTCAGACCAGCCGTTGGAATCGTTTGGCCGAACGGTGAAAATCGTACATCATTGACTTCTCTGACGGGGGGGCATGTGAGTCATGCTACGGCAATGCATGGCGAGGGAATCAGTCGTTGTCAGCCGAACTAATGTGTCAATCGTTCCTCTGCCTACGCCTCCCAGGAGAAGTTTTGCGACTATCTGGCACTCTCGGACAGCTTTATCCGCGACTCCGCAGAGAGAGGGTCACGAGATTCGCTCCCAGTGGTAAGAATAATTTTGTGACGAAGGCGTGTCCGGGAGTTGGCCATCAATATATATAACATTCTTGCCGCAGTTTGTACCCTTCGCATGGCCTTGCCTCGCCAACGAACAGTTTCGAACCATTAGAGATATCCCGTGATGTATGCGTGTGACTTGAACGTTTTTCGCGAAGATACTTCAGCCGTCCATCCCTCATGCACACTTGCGAAGAAGTGGTTCAAGTAGCAGGTATGAAAATGCGAAAATCATCACACCTCGTCGGTATTTGAACTCACACCTTCGACGCTAGATAGTTCTCGAGGCTCTCCTGACCACCCGGGGATACGTAACGGAGCTGTTTTCCGTAGAATATTTCGAGGACGCAAAGGAGCGCACAAAGTCGTTGTCGCGAACACAGAACTCTCACGACAGAAGGGCGAAAAACCGTAGAAAATATCGCCCCGTTGTGAAACCAATCCATGGGTGTTGACCTTTTGTTCTACACTATTCCCGGGCTGTTTGTTAGCAGGAGGACAGGGGCGGGCACTGTTGAAGTCGATGGAACGCTAATAAATGCAAAAAAACAACGGTAGTGATGAAAACGACAACAGAACAGCGAAAAAAAATGGCAGGAATACTAACTTTGGCGATTCCCGTGAATCCCCGTTGGCAACAAGATCAGACGAAAACGAAGATCGGTGGCAGTCTCAAAGATGGGAGCAAGAATATTACTAACCGAAAACAACCGATAACGATAACCCTCGTGCATTCCCAACGTTTTCCGTATCGATATTGGTTTTTTGGGGGTGGCCTTCGCAAAGAATCTTAACGATTGGTCGGTCGTCAGACCAGGCGATCTTCCCAACACTTGCAGCCGGCTGCATATCGTGAAGGACTCGGATAGTGCACGCGACGCTGAAACAGCTGTTGTTGGCCGTCACCTTTCTTGTTCTCGTCAGGGTTATGCCGAGGTCGTCGAGCACGGAGAAGCGACCAAGCTGTTCACTGGGAGAGCCAACTCCGAAGAGGTCGAGTCGTTCCTCGCCCAAGAAATTTCATTTCCAACAGTGAGTTCAAGGGTGCGCCTTTCTATTGAGTTATCGTTTCCAGCTGATTCGACCGCAACGTAGATAGGGCTCAACTAGGGACGCCAAATCCTGAGAAATCTCGTCGCCCTTTTGGGACCGATCTTCTCACCGTTTGCCGTTATCGTCTGGTGGTGGGCGTTTCTGTGCTTGACGTATGAAGGCAAGCGTTGTCACCAACTTCGCCCCCTACCAACAATCCCCCCCCACCCCCCCCTCGGTGTTTGCCGTCGGGGATGGGTGTTGTTCGCTTGGCAACGAAGTTGTAAAACAAGCCGATCACTTCGTGCGCTCGGCGACCAGGTCAACGCTTTTTTTTTTTGCGTCACTTTTTTTCTTTTTTGTGGTAACCATAATGGTGGTCGAGTACATCATGTTGTGCGGGATCGAGAACCCTCACTGCGTGCAAAGGGGATGATCGCACCACACTGTGATAAATTGGTAAAGCACCCTCGAGGCAGTTACACAGTGCTTACAGCTGTCTCTGGAAGTGAAAGCACCAGAATATAAATTGTGTCATACGCAGCTGTCATTCGTACGCAAGGGGGAAGGCAAAGTACCGCAGGAGGGGAGGGTAGAGAAGGGCTCTTCTGTGTGACCACGGGTTGGAGTAAACGGCACTAGTGCTGTAGGCGCTGATTTGAAGGGAAGACAAAAAAAAAAAAGGGGGTAAGCACGAGATGCCGAACACCCTTAGCAGGATGCAGTGCACCCTTCATGCGACTCCCCGAATACCTCACGGTGCTTCTCGCTTGGTGATGTGAGAGCCTGGTCGGGTGAGAACCCAATGTGTTCCGTCCCGGCTTTGTATAGATGCGAGGTAAATGGTGTAAGGATTAGGGCATGAAGGATTATGAGTACCCCCCCCCCCCCGCCCCCCCGGTGCATTCCGTGTGCGTTTTGCGTCTTTCTGCTACTCGCCCAATACAGATATCCCAAGTTGCAACCGAGGCGCAAGTATCTCAGTTTGTCCTGCAATCCTCCGTAGTAACCATGAACCGAGCCCTGCGCAAGCAAGGGGCAGGGGCAGGGGCAGCGTGGGCAGGCGGGGGTGACGGTGAACCCAGCGACGACGATGCGTCGAACATACGAGGCATCGGCGGTGGTTTCGGCAGCGCTCTTTCCCGCTCCGCTGCCTCTGATTGCGCCAGTGTAATGCAATCAACAATGATGGGAATTATGCCTGACTTTGGAGCCTGTGAAGACGCGGCGGAGAGGTGAAGATTGCGTCTAGGCTAGCTCGACATGACGACGTTTAGCTAATTAACATACCATCTGTAGCTCGCAGCTAGAGGACGTAATTTGTCGTTGTGCGACACCGCTGGCGTCGGCCTCTATCTGACCCACCCGCAACAGCGTGTAACCTCCTCTTACTATCGGCCCTCGCCTCTCCCAACGGCTTGTTCATTCGCTGCTTGCCGTCACGACGGGTATTGAATGACGGAATTCAACTGGGGATGGAAGACCCAACGTTCGCGCGGGTATTGGCAGCCTGATCATCAACGGGTGAGACCGTATTCCTTTGCCTGTCAGCATGTCGACAATGACAATATCGTTCTGCAACAACGGACTCCTGCCGCTCCATTGGGCGCTATGGTGTGTTCGGGTTCAAACTGGTATTTCGGCTTGCGTGTACGAATAGAATAGAGAGGAAAACTGAGGATACAACCAGCTCACGCTATTGAAGAATGTCCAAGTGAAAATTGGAGCGCATTCTTTGTCTGAAATGAACCATGTCGCATCACAGGGCCCTAGTATTTGCTAAGGCCGTCCAGGGGGATTCCAATGCAGCGCTGGAGAAGCTACGACGCTGCGTCGAGATCTTCGACCGATACCCTGGACTTTCCCGCTTCTTCATGGGGTGAGTGACATGCGGAACACGCTCCCATTACGAGCCTGGGCTACGGAACCCCAAAACACAAGTTTCAGAAAATGAACATTGAAATAGATGCCAAGAATCCTACACATACTGGTATTCCCAAGTACTTGATTGTACATGTTGCTGTTGGGCAACTCCGCAGAAGAAGCAAGAAACATATTCCCCAAATCGTTAGCTGGTATTGCTCAAAATGGCGCCGCAACTGGGTACCCTTCCAGTAGCTTCTATGGCACCACGTTCAATATGGCAGGTATGCGTGTGTTTTTCTGGGCAGCGTTGGGCAGGATAGAGACCAGCGAGAAATGTCGAAACCGATGTGAACCTTTCCTCTTCACTCGTTCGCCTTGTGTTCTCGGCTGAGGGTCATTTCGCTGACGGACGAAAAAGTTTTTTCTGTCTTGGTCGCCCCGAGGCGTTCTATGGGCTTTCTGACCTCTCTCGTTTGCCCGATGCTTGATATTTTCGCTTGTTCGATTTTTCGTTGTGGTGAAGAGAACACATAGCGCACCTATCGTTATCGATGGTAGCAAGCATGGATCACCCCAGTGCTTATGGGCTGTACGGCAAGCTCCGGAACGCTTGCAATAGCACGCGGCCCGCAGGCTCGTTGGCCATTCCGCCGTTTGAGGAGTGGGACGGCTTATCTGGGATTTGTGACAACGGCCTGTGCAGGTTTGTTCAGCTTGGGACTGTGGTGTGCGTGCTTCATCCCTACTCCTGTTGAGGAAAGTTCATCAGTGGATTGGTTTCTTAAGCCGCATGGGTGCCCGAAGCTTTCTTCCCACCTGTCATGAGTGCATTATGAAGTATTTTTGAGATAGCTGTGAAAGCGTTCTACGCATAGTCAACTGCTCGCCTGTGTTGCATCAGGACTTACCCACCGATGGCAATTGCAGTAGCATCCTTCAAGAAGGGGCAACTCTGTACGTTTTACCAATCACCTGGTGACACGTACGCCCCCACACGCACCATTTCATTGGTCAGGACAACGGAAAGACTTTGCTCTGGACGGAACTTGGACTTCTCGTCTATGGTGTCCTCGGAAGGCGGTGCGGGTACGTCTGGAGCTGAGCCAGTCGGCGGTTGTGATGACCGCACGCGCGACGATGCACGCCAACAGCACGCGGAAGTTGTCGCACACACGGTGGCTCAAGCTGCACAGGTGTTGGCTTCAACGCCTTGTCATGCCCATCCGGCAGATGCAGGTGCACAGGACGAGTTCATTGCTGCGGAAGACTGGTTGGACGTAGCACACGCCACACTAGAATCGCCCTGATATGGAGAAGACCGGTTAGTGACGCCCTGTCGACCTGCCTGGGTACCGTATACGACACAAGATAACACACCCCCTAGACCGATTTTCAAAGCTCGATTTCTCGACCGCAGAGCGAGTCAAAGCACCGAAAACGGTGTCGTTGAAGCCGCCTTGTCGAGAGCTTTCCGAAAATGTATCGTTTCGTTTATGCATGTTCTTCGTCGTGGCGCAATCGAGCTTTGAAAACTGGTCCAGGGTGTGTGTTATCTTGTGTCGTATACGGTATCTAGCGTTCACCATCAACCGTGATCAACAGCGTCTCGAGCGTCTCGTTCCTACAAATGAAGGGCGTGATGTTTTCAAGCAAAGCATACATGTGGGAGACGCAAATAGTGGTGAACCCAGGATATGCAGACCCGACGGCTAAAAATATTTGTGTTCGACGATAACCCCCTGATCGGCTGTAGTGCGTTCGATGTGCGTGTACGCCAAAGCTCGGCGAGATTTGGAGATTGGAGGTTTAGAAGCTGGCCCGTGTTTGTGATTGAAGATTTGGTGCCTCCACCGAAAAAAAAAAACGCCCTCGGCTTCGGAGCAAACCTTCAGAGATGTGTGCGTGTGCGAACTTGCAAGAATACTGCTGATGTCCACTTGTTCGATAGGCGTTCATCCCGATGCTTGATTATAGAGAGTTGGAGGTTGGGGTTTAGAGCGTGACAGCGTTATTGATTGGTTGAAGATTTGGCGCTTCTACTTTCATCGAGAGGTTCGACCTCTAGATACCTCGACTGAAAACAAGTTTCTGAGATGCGTGCGTGTGCGATCTTACAATGTGTAACTTGATGTTCTGTTGCCCGTTCGATGTTCGTGCACGCCGATGCTTGGAGAGAGCTGGAGGTTGGATGTTAGAGCTATCTGTCAACGTTGACGGTTATGTTTTGGTAGTGCCTCTACCTATACTAGATTCTCGCCACATGTACCTCGGCTGCAACAAGCTTCCGAGATGTGTGCGTGCGCGAACCTACAATAACATTGGTGTGAGCCCGTTCGATATGAGTGGACGCCGATGTGATAATGGGGGGTTGGAGGTTGGAGCTTGTGAGCAGCGTTCATGATGGAGGATTTGGTGCATCTACCCTGTCGGATAGCTTGGTGCGCCCGGCGCAGTTGTAGACGGCAAAAGTAAAAGAACCGTGCGGCGAGTTTGCCGGCAACGATACAATACATACAGAAAACTGCCCACGGGTGTGGTAACCCGCATCTGTGATGTTTCGGAGCGTGATAGCTCTGACCTGTTGACGCTGGCTGTGTGATAGCTTGATAATGGTGTGATAGCCTGGAGGCGTGACAGCCTGGCAGCGTGGTTGCTGGTGGATATGTAGTATAGACGCGGGCGTGATAGCCCAGGGCGTGAAAGCCGGGAAGAAGGAAGATGAATTATCCATGATGGGCACGTGGCCAACACCGTTGTAGACACGCATACCCAGAAAACAAAAATATGTGGCAAAGATGGTACCACGATTTCCCCTAATTTTATCACAACTGCAGAACCCCCAAAATTCCCCGCTCCATCACGGTTGTTTGCAATAATCTGTCAACGCTGTGAGACGCTGACTCTTATGGCTCCCGAAAGTTGGCCCGACGGATTTTTTTGGACGGGCATACCCCCCCCCCCCTGATTTGCCACGGATTCCACCAAAAGACAGACCTCTCACCACATCACCACAGAGTTCTCCCTCCATGATTGTCGGATCGTCACCGGAACTTGAAGGCTGTACGCACCACACCTGTAGG